TCACAGCCTTCGCTTTTTCCTTGTTGGAATGGGGAAAACATCTTCGTACAACCCGAATCGGTCTCTCGCTTTATGGCGTATCCGATTGGTTGAGTTGAGCACAGGCGTTTCGGCTGCGATTATTGTCGCACGAAATATCCAGATAACCTGATTGCCACTGTTTTTTTATGATTATTACTACGCTGTACGGGATTTTCATCTCCTCTGTTGGATTAACAAAGCGATCACAAGACGTGTTTGATAAAGGATCGGTCGTAGGTGCTGACCGCTAGTCAACGTATTAGCGCGAGAATGTACGGTTTTGTTTAAGGAATCTGTCTATCCGTAGGCTCCGACTCAGCAGTTTGGCTCGCGGGAGGGAAATGTCATGTGGAGGGACTCTGTTTGGACCAGTTGACTCAATTTTCTAGACCGTGTCTATTGGAGGCGTACCTAGGTCTACACAAAGTCACGAGAGTTTAGCTTTTGATACGGTACTCCCCCCCCCCTCGAACAGACTCGGTTGAACAGGTAGTTCGGGCATCACGGGGTCTTCCGTTGCAATACTTTTCGCAAAAACAAACCAGAACTGGTGTGCCCCCCCCCCCCTCGAACAGACTCGGTTGAACAGGTAGTTCGGGCATCACGGGGTCTTCCGTTGCAATACTTTTCGCAAAAACAAACCGTCTAGAACTGGTGGTACACTCCGATTTCCCATGTGGAAGCACCGCAACGGAGTTGCCTCGTGTCATCGACCTGTTTGTACTGATTGACAAGCAGGGTATATGGTTAGTGACATGGGTTTATGAATACTCTGTGCTGTTCACGTGTCCTTGTCCACAGTAGCGTCTATGATAACATTTTCCAGGCGCACTGTAGATCGCTGGCAATGGGTCTGGGAGCTAAGATGAAGTGGCGCNATATTTGTCAGGTTTTTTCGTTCTGATTGTCGTCGATTCTCTTTTGGCATACTCATATGCTTTTGTGGTTAGTGCTTATGTTTGTCTTGATGGTACTAAGTTTCTCGTTCATAGTAGCTTGGGTGACAAGCGTAGGTTCATTACGGATGTTCAAGAATACTGAATAGCTGATACACTTCATTTCAGATGGACTTACACATCGTGCCGAGCGCTCACAGAAACCATCCCCCCCCCCCCCCCGCCGGACGCATCTAACTTCCCTCATCCAGTTGCGCGTGGCCTATATTAGACGGGAGGCCTTAAACC